CCTCGGACTCACGTCCTCCAGGGGCCACCCTCCTCCCCAACTGTGTCCCTTTTCCGTTTAGCACCCCCTATACCACTACCCTGCCCGAGGCCCCTCCTCTGCAGAATAATTCTCACCCTAGTCAAGACCTCTGTCAGACCATCGAGAGGCAACATTCAGAATATCAGGAGTGTTGGGTATGCTACTTCCCGGCCTCCTCTACGAGGTGTCGCTACATTGGTAAACTATTATTTACTAACAACACCAGCAAACTCAGGATGGGGCTGGAGACCATGATGGCCTAACACTCAGCCAAGTCACAGCCTGGCCTTTGCTTCTTAGCCAAGAATGCTTCCCCCGCACCCTTAGAAAAAATATGTAACAGTCATACTGTCGATCCACTTTCAGTATATTCAGGCACCTAAACCTCTTATTTTGCTTGTTCCTCCAGTCTTACCTGTATGTAGTCACTGCACTTCTTGAGCATAGGAATATTGTGTGTTAGTCTTGCTCCTCCCAGACTCACTATACATCCTGCTGACGAATTGCTCAGACTTTGGAAGGCCCCACAATCCCGGAAAAGAGAGAGCCCATCACGGCATAACAACTCGCAGTTGTCCTAGGCCTTGGTGCCACAGGGGCTGGAACAGCATAGCTCTCTGGTCATCCAACCAGCAGTACCTGCAGCTCTCTGCTGCCATCGTAATGACCTCCGAGAGCTACAGCAGGGCCTAAAGTATCTTAAAGAGTCCCTCATTCGCTTTCTGAGGTAGTGTGCAAATAGAAGAGCCTAGACTTAGTGTTCCTCCAGACGGAGGTTTGTGCGCAGACTTAAAGAGAATGCTGCTTTTACGCAGCAAAACAGGCCTGGTAGAAGATAGCATTGAGAGAGTTAGACAAAGCCTAGAAGATAGAAAAAAACGGAGGGAACAGAGTGAAGCATGGTATCAAAATTGGTTTTCCACATCCCCCTGGCTATCCACATTGCTTCCCAGTGTCTTAGGGCCGCTTGTAGGATTTCTGTTGCTCCTCACCTTTGGGCCTTGGGCATTCAAAAAACTAACTGACTTTGTAAAGTCACAGGTGGACGCAGCCACACAAAAATCGGTCTCCGTGTTTTACCAACGGCTGGAACAAAGAGGCTCCAGAGAAGACCTCCATACAGAGTCTCCCCATACAGCCACAGAGAGTCTAAATTTCTCAGACCTTGCCTCAGACATGGAACACAGTTGGTTCCAAAGGCTGTGGAGACGCCCATGACGGGATTATCACGATGCTGCGTACCAGGTGCACACCCCACCAGCTGTGAGGTAACTCCATGACGGGAATATTGTAGGTCCATGCCCGGGGGCACACTTCATAATCAGAAGTGCCGGAGCTGGATGCCACCTACATAGCCTAAGACAGAGGCCTCACCTTCACATTAATCGCCCAATCTTATATTTGGGGTGCTGGTCGAGGGAGCCCATCGCGTAGCCTAAGACAGGCTCTCCACCAACTTATACAAATCTCCCTCATATTAATAAAGAAAGGGGGAGATGTTAGGAACCGAGGCCTTTGAGGGTCTTAACCCATAAATACCCTGAGCTGTCAGAAGGTGCTTAATGGCCGTTCCGAGAAAGATCGCAAGATATCCCAGGCTTGGCGCCAGAGGCTGTTCACGACTGATAAACCCTCCAGGCTTGGCGCCAGAGTCTATCTGTGATTGATAAACCCTAGGATGTTTGTAACTGATTGACCCTAAACTGTTTTTGACCGATCAACCCTAACCCCCCCGCTGCCCCTCCCTACTTCTTTGTTTCTGTATGCTTATAAAACCAATGAAAAACCTAGTAAAGCAGACCTTGACAACCCTTTGCTTGGTCTCGTTCCTTTCTCTCACCCATCTCTTTCAGGCACGGTCCCCCTTGACCCCCGCGAGTAACAGAAGGTCCCGCGGGTCGGGACACTGAACTTGATGGGCTTTCTTTTACACCTAACTGCTTCTGACATAGTATCCTGGCAGGCCCTTCCTAAATACCAGGTTATTAATCAGCTCACCAGTTCTCTGCCTTTCCAGTCCCCGGAGCTGCCTTGCGGCATGGACATGGAGTCTGTTCCCCGGAACTCCACTGACTTCGTCCTCATGGGCCTCATCACCCACCCTGTGTTCCCTGGGATTATCTTTGCAGTTGTCTTCTCCATTTTTGTGCTGGCTGTGACAGCCAACGTGGTCATGATCCTGCTCATCCGTGTGGACTCCCGCCTGCACATGCCCATGTATTTCCTGCTTAGTCAGCTGTCCATCATGTCCATCATGTCCAACATGTCTACATCTGTGTCACTGTCCCCAAGATGCTCCAAGACCTCCTGTCCAAGGAAAAGACCATCTCCTTCCTGGGCTGTGCGCTGCAGATCTTCCTCTACCTGACCCTGATCGGGGCCGAGTTCTTCCTGCTGGGCCTGATGGCCTGCGACCGCTGCGTGGCCGTGTGCAGCCCGCTGCACTACCCCGCGCTCATGAACTGCAGGATTTGCCTGCTCATGGCGGTGGGCTCCTGGGTTGGCGGGTCCCTGGACGGGTTCATGCTGACACCAGTCGCCGTGAGTTTCCCCTGCTGCGGCTCCCGGGCGATCAGTCACTTCTGCGAGATCCCAGCTGTGCTGAGGCTGTGTGTGCAGACACGTTGCTCCAGGAGACCCTGACGTGTGCGCGCTGCACGCTGATGCTGCTCGTCCCATCGTGGGCCCCGCCGCCTGAGCGCAGCCTGCTCGCCTGGCCAGTGTGCCGCGGGTGGGCGCCGCGCCCTCGCCCGAGCCCTCCCCCGCGCTGGCCGCGCGTTTTCTGCGGGGCAGCCTTTCACGCCCCCGTGCTGCCCCACTCCTGCCACACGCCAGAGAAGGACGAGGTTGTGTCCGCCTTCTACACGGTCCTCGCCCCCATGCTCTACTGTTAGGGACCGACCTTCCACAGCCCCACCGGACAGAAGAGCAGAGACATCGAGGATGCAATCACACAAGAGGAGGTTTATTTTCTGGCTAGCCAGGGTCCAAGCCCCAGAGCGCCAACGCAGTGGCCACTCTTGCAAGCAAGGACCCCGGCCGGAACAACGGCATGCCTTTTATCCCCATGGTGCACAAGCTGCGCACAAGCTGATCACGCGTGGATCATGCGTTGACCTTTAAAATGATTGGTTGCCCACTATTGCCTTTTGAAATAATTGGCGGGTTGGTTGCCCTCCATTGCCTGATGGGCCAGTCGCCTGTGCTTCAATGACCTCATCCCATAATTCCCCATACAGCGGCGTAGCAAGCAAGCAATGACCAGAAGCAAAGGTTTGCGGTTAGCTCATTGCCCCACCCAAGTAAATTCCCGACAATTGGAAGAATTCCTCTGCCCTTCTTCTGTCCTACAAATTCCTCTGTCCTTCCTTTGCCCTACACTACCCGCTCATCTACAGCTTGCGGTACAAAGACGTGGCTGCAGCTGAGCAAAGTGCTTGCGCGCTGCACAGGGCCGCGGGCCAGGCGCTAGGGGCCTGGGTGTGCACATCCGCGGGCCGCCGTGAGGCCGCAGCAGTGGTTCTGAAGAGCACTCAGTGTCATATTGTAATTAAGAATTATCAATAGGCAAAATCATCCTGCTGCAAGCATTATTTAAGTGCTATCGTCGATGGCAGCAAACATCTCTGCGTTAGCCAACTTGCTCGTCTGGACTCACCGAGGAATGTTTTCCAGACCAGTAGAACAAGGAATTGTCCCAAGCAAGGGCTTCCCTGAATAGATGCTTTTGTGTATTCCATGTGCTCATGCGTCCTTTGTATCTCTATTGCTGTCCAACTTTTGAATGGAAATTGCAAGGAAATTTGCTGTATCCTTGATGATTTACTGCCAAGCATTCAATACAAATAAAATACTTTCTAATGTTAATACTGTAGCAGTTTTATTTAGGAAACTTTTGTGAAGATGACATGATTGTATCTTGAGTTATGTAGTCTTAGGCCCATTTTATGGATGTCTTTATTTTCTTACCTCTGAAATTACATTGTAAATCCTTACCATGTCTTTATTCACTTGGAGGATAATTTGTGCCTGGATATTAATAAATATTGATTGATTGATTGAAAATTAACTCTGTCATTAAAACTGTAACATTGTCACAAACCTACAAAACTTCCATTTATGCTCTAATGAAGTGATAATAGATAAATGCACAATGAATAAATCAAGATATTTCATTAGTTAACTTAGCTCTTACGGTTACGTTGTTTAATTTTCTTACTTTAAACCTCTTTATTGGTATGCTAGCAGACAAATGTTTCTTTAATTAGTTGGGGTTAAGTGTGGTGTTTTGATAGGTGTGCAACTTTGATAGAATACTAACTAAGCAAAGACCATACTGACCCTTCAATTGTGCATTATTTTAACTTTAAATTTTTCCTTTGTGTAAGGTCCTGGAATATGACAAACAAAAGAGAATTTCTGATTAACTTGCTGTTTATTTTCTCCATCAAATATGAGATTTAGAAAATGTTGGACACATTTTTGAGTGATTACACAACTGACAAAGACTAAATTAAGATTACTCAATCTGAGGGAGCAAGATGGCGGGCAAATAACACTGCCAGACAGAGTGTCTCTGCAGTAAAGACAGATTCTAGCACAAATTAGAGGAAAGAAGAAGACAAGCATACAGCGGACAAGGGCCGGAAGGAGGGTGCCTGAGACCCAGGCAGACTCCACGGGAGGAGGCTGCGAAGGAGAACTGGAGGCTGAGACCACCGGAGCAGCCTGGAGACCAGCGGAAAGGGTAGGTCGATTTGCTGTTTCCCCTCCCCTGCATTTGGGACTGCTGGTGGGCTCCCCAGCGGGTGGAGAGACCTGAGGACACCAGCCCAGAGACCACCGCCGCCGCCAGCCAGCGGTGAGCCTGTAGCAGACTTGGCACCGGGTTCCCAACTTCCTCCGGGCACCTCCATGTGCACAGACCCAAGCCGCGCGGCAGGTGCCATATTGCCTCCTCCTCCCCTCTGCCGACTCTACCCGCGGCTGCCAAGAGAGACAATACAGCCACCAGTCAGAGGCACCTCCAGGGAATGGGACCTTCCCTTTTGGGACCTACACCTGACTCAGGGGAACTCAGACTGTGAGCTCCCTAACCACCCGCCCTCCCAGGTGCTGCTGGCATGGTGTTCCCAGGAGAACGGTGCCAACTCAGAGGCTGAGAGACATAGAACCAGCTTGGGCTCCCTGTGGGTGAATTGGGACCTCCGGAAAACCCTCTCCCTGGTGGGTGAACAGTTTGAACCTGGACCCATGAGTGTCTGTACCTGCTAGACCAGATCCCCTGCACGAGTGGGCTAGCATTGCCCGGGGCAGCAGAAGGGTTATATGAACAGCCTGCAGAGGGGGGTGTGTGTGCTCCAGGGGCGGAGATCGGTCCTAGAGGGCAACCCTCTCCCAGGAAGTGATTGCCGTGCGGCCCAACCCAGGTGGCGTCCTGTGCATGTGGGTGAACTAGCTGCGCTGTTATTCTAGTATTCCGTGGTGATGCCTGGGCTTGTTGGTCTGGCCCTGCGCAATATGCTCCAAGTAGCTCGACGGGTGATTGTGAAGAATGGATGTGTTTTTGTTGGCCGCTTGCTGTGTATGTAGGCCCACTTCCGACTGCGGTCTCCAGACAGACCATCCCATCCACAAGCGATGATCGTTCTGCTCGAGCGGTGTCATTCCACTACGCTCTTTCAGCTCCCTGGAAGCAGAGCTCAGAACTTGACCCCGCTTAACGTCCTGAGTGCATGGCGTATCCCAACCATGCTCCGCCCATGAACAAGTAGCAACTAACATGTCACATACAACATATAAGTCCTGTCCCCAAGCAATCGCGCAGGCCTACTTGACAGGACGGCATGTCTTGCCCACGCTTCCACACACCCGCACGACTGCAATAATCAGGAGTGTCCAATTACGGCGACTGATCACCATCCCTATACGCCTTCAGAAACTAAACAAGGTGTGAATTACCCAAACAATAACTTAAGGAAGAAACGTAACACACTGATCGACCCATGTAACAAATCAGGAAAGAACTTCAGGAAATATGAAAGAACGCCCATACCGGAAAACACACCCTCAAAGAGAGCACCAGCTCCTGAAGAACGGACACCCCCCCTCCCCCCCCTCATACCCATAACAGAACACAATGATGACAGAATGAGAAGT